TTTGCACGCGATATTTAAATAGCGCTACATTGTGAACTCTTTAAACGTCTGTTCAACGTTAATTAATGATATTGGTGTTCGGATTTATTTTCTAAGTTGGACCATTTTCTATCATTCTAGATAGTTTTCAAAACAAAATTCAACAAAAAGTTGTTTTGTATTTTTCAAACAAAATGGCGAAAGAAGTCCCTTAAAATAAATATGAGTTTTGACTCCGTCCACTTTCATATTTATATTTCATATTTATTTAAAAAAAAATATGAAATATATTTGACTGATATAGCACCATATTTCATGGGTAAAATTAAATAAAATCTGATATTTATTGTTAATTTTTAGTAAAAATAATTAAGAATATATTCAAAATTTGTAACTTTGAAACGACCCCTCTCTCTCCGACGGAATGTGATACTTAAACTGCCATACCGAACTTTGAAGGGATTTCATACTTTTATGATTCTTGTTTGTCCAATGAGGAAATATGAGGATTAAACATGTGAATACACTAATTTTCTGCATCAATAAACGCAATTTTTTCAAATACGGTCCTCTTTGAACACCCCTATCGGTCACATCAAGTAATGTGACGGGTATAGCTATAGTTGGCACTCAAGACTAAAAACATAAACCTACATTTATCAATATTGTAAATGCTTGAAATAATCGCGCAAAAAATCACGAAATGATATTTACTATTGCATTTAGGTAAAAATGATCAATGAATAAGGTGGTGTGGCAGATTAAGTGTCATATTCCATCTGGGGGACAGAGGGGTCGTTTCAAAGTTACGGATTTTGTATATATATTTTTGATCATTTTTACTTAAATGCAATAGTAAATATCATTTCATGGTTTTTTTGTGCGATTATTTCAAGCATTTACAATATTGATAAATGTAAGTATATGTTTGGTCTTTAGTGCCAACTATAGCTATACCCGTCACATTACTTGGTTGAACCGATAGGGGCCGTTCAAAGAGTAACGTATTTAACGAAGAAATTGCTTTTATTGATACAGAAAATTAGTGTCTGCTAATATCTTAAACGCATATTTCCTCATTGAACACATAAGAAACATAAAGGTATGAAAGTCCTGATTAAGGTGGTATGGCAGTATAAGTGTCACATTCCTTCTGAGGGACAGAGGGGTCGTTTCAAAGTTACGGACTTTGTATATATTTTTAATCATTTTCACTAAACTGCAATATTAAATATCATATCGTGAATTTTTTCGTACGATTATTTCAAGCATTTACAATACTGATTAATGTAGGTGTATGTTAGTTCTTTAGTGCCAACTATAGCCATTCCCGTCACATTACTTTGTTTGACCGGTAGGGGTGTTCAAAGAGTAACGTATTTGACAGAGAAATTGTTTTTTGTTGTTTTTTTTTTTCATTAAACTGCAATAATAAATAGTGTATCGTGATTTTTTGTACGATTATTTCAAGCATATATAACATTGATTAATGTAGATATATGTTTGTTCTTTAGTACCAAATATAGCTGTACCCGTCACATTGCTTGGTCTGACCGGTAGGGGTGTTCAAAAAGTAACGTATTTGACGAAGAAATTGATTTTATTGTTACAGAAAATTAGTGTCTGCTAATATGTTAAACGCATATTTCCTCATTTAACACATAAGAAACATAAAGGTGTGAAAGCCCTGATTAAGTTGTTATGGCAGTATAAGTGTCACATTCCTTCTGAAGGACAGATCTATAGAGTGGTCGTTTTAATAATGTTAAGGACTTTGTGTATATTTTAATCATTTTTACATTTCAATGGTAAATATTATATTCCGATTTGTACGATCTTTTTAGCATTTACAGTAACGATAAATTTAAGTAGGCCCTATATAATAGGTCTTTAGCCGTCAAATTTGATAGGGGGCATTGAAACGAGTAACTGTGGTTCTTTGTGCCCCATTCCTTTCCAATCATCTTTGAAATTTGTTTTTTTTTTATGTCTATTAATGTTCAAATTTTAAACTGATTGTATTAGGAACATACAAAACGATGAAATATTTTAATTATGATCGAAAAAGAATATAAATTATTTATTGATAAAGTGCGAAATGGTAAACACTGATTTACGCGAAAATATTGAGTACGAATTGAAATTGTTCGTGTCTGCTGGGTATTTATTCGTGTTGGCTGCTTCGTGTTGGCTGAAAAGGTTGTATTGACTATTAAAATACAGGTAAAATAAAACTTTTCTAATTAAGCAGTTATTTTTTTCTTATTTTTTTCACAGAGCAAGGTAGGACATTGTCAAATCTATGTTTAACCTATTTATATATTATTACAAAATATAAATAGATCTTACATAATTATGTAAAAGTGCTAAAAATAGCTGGCGGAAAAACCGAGTGTGCTAAGATTAGTACATTAATTTTATATCTGTTTTGTGTGATTTTGGATATATGTATATACCATTCCAGGGAAAAACAAATAAATAAAAACATTGCTAATTTAATATTACAAAGAATTGGAATCAAAGAGAAGGTAATTCTTTATAAATATAGAAATAAAGGTTGAAATATTTTGTGTAAATTTGACTGTTTAAGGTGATTCCGCTTTGTCAGCCATGTTTGTTTTCACCAAGTCTGTCCAAAGTGAAAGTAGGCTAAACTTCATATAACAACAAAGCTCTTATTGTAAAATGATGAACCATTTGAAAGTACACTTCCAGGTTTATATTTTAAGGACAATTATAAACAAAAATAAAAATGATAACAATAAGAATATTTACCTTGAATGTGCTACATTTCTGAAGACCAAAAACATTCTGTTGCAAAGTTTTATGCACATTTCATGAATGGCAAAATCCTTTTAAAAGTCTGTTTTAGTGCCTACAAAAGCTATTTTTGCAGCAAATACAAAACTCTTTCAAAACTTAACTCCAAATAAATCCGTATCTCATGTTCTTCTAAGCACATGGCCTCCATTATTTTTTGTAAAAGAGTAGTGCAAGAAAACAATCATCATTTGTAGCCTTATAAACTACAATTAAAATGAAAACACAATCAAACTTTAAAATCTAACCATTTTTATGTGTAACAGTGAAGTGTGTCTGTTTGTCATGTACACAAGAAATAGGTAAATGATGTTTATTTTCATGGTACTCCTTTTTTACACATGTCATGGTGGCCATGTTTTTTCAAGGTCAGATAAACTACTTTCCTAAGATTTATGTTTTTTAAAGTTTTTTGTATTTTCTGCAAAAAATAGCTTTTGTAGGCACTAAAACAGACTTTAAAAAGGATTTTGCCATTCATGAAATGTGCATAAAACTTTGCATTTTTATTTTTGTTTAAAATAGTCTTTAAAACTAAGAACTGGAAGTGTACTTGCAAATGGCTCTTTATATAACAATGTGAGCTTTGTTGTTATATGAATTTTGGCCTACTTTCACTTTGGACAGACTTTGTGAAAACAAACATGGCTGACAAAGCGGAATCCCCTTAAAAAGTATTTTATCATGATACATTAAACATAAAATATTTTGTCCCAGATTGAAATAATTTAACTACCACACCTACAGTTGCTTAAATTTATATATTGGGAAACCTGATATGACGTTAGAACTGTCAATCGTCTCAACGTTATTGTTTGATTTTATTAACCTGTCAATTCCATACTGATTATACGGTCAATGCACAGAATATATTAATATTCGATAAATGTTCGGTAAATTCCGTGAGATGTGCGCAGTAAGATGTGATTAAATTCATCTTGTTATTTTGAATTAGTTACACTGACCGTTATAGTGCAATAGGGTAAACCACTGGTATATTTTATCTGAATGTTCAACGTGTTGTAGGATCGAGACAGAGTATGTCCAGTATTTTTTTTCATAACTATTTTCTACATGTTTTTTAAGATATGGTTGTTCCATTTTTAATATGTTTTGCACCATTTTGTAAACACTATACATTTGTATATAACAAGAATTAATACTGAAAATTCATTCCGATTAAAATCAATAAATGTAATTATACAATATAAAATGTGACAATTCAGTGTTTCTTAGTTGGTTCATATCCGTGTAGACAAATTGCAAGCGCTTGACCATTTTCATTAAAATATACTTAAAAATAAAGAAAGAATAAGTCTAAAAACAATATCAAAAAAGGGGATTGAACCTCGGACCCCTCATGCATTAGGTAATCACTTAACCGACTGTGCTATTGCGGATGTTACAAGAACCTACATTAATCTAGTGAGAGTTTTCCAAACGTAAGTGATACACCCCATATTAATTCTCGTAAAATAAACGGAAAAAACCGAAGTGGGATCGAATATGTAAATGAGTGCTATAATGTATTCATAATTGACAGGTCAATAAAATCAGACTATACTGTGTATCAGGGGAAGAAACTTTTACTTGATTTCTTAAATTTCTAATAGAGTACTTCTGAAAATTTGTTTATTGGTAATCGGCGAGGTGTAGTTTAAATTACACAGCTAACGTAATATTTCAAACTATGTAATTGCGTAATATCCCTATTCAAACTCCAGCATGTAGTGAAATCACGTGAGATTTATATAGGTGATCAAATCTGGATTTCCTGCAGCGTGGTAGATGCGTATTATATATATATAAATTATGAGAGATAACAATTTATCTGCACACTTGTATCTTTACTTTATTACTTTATCTGATCCCACGCAGGGGAAACCGGGAAAGTATAACTGTATTGGATTTAATTATCTCCCTTTATATATATATATAAATATATATCGTCATTTGCAAACAAGTAACACATATATTTGTGATCAAGGTAATCACGTATGATAATATACATTACTTTATTAGGTTTTAACTTTATTTTCACTATCATTGATATATAAGTACATCTAATTATATAATTTAGAACATTGTACTACTACGTTTTATATATAAGTTGAAATAAGCCCCTATAAATATATACAATGTAATTAACTGTATATTTTAATATTTTCACATTTCTGGTTTTATTCTCTTAATTCCAGTGACAGGAAAAGAGAAGAAAGAAAATATATACTGAAAAAGCAATTAAAAGGACAAAATTAAACGAAGGTTCATACACAATAAGTACGTACTATGAAAGCTTCATCCGTACTATAGCCATGCAAATGATATGGGGTTGGACTATTTAGGGCCAATCATACTTGTTACTTCTCTGAACAACGTTTTTGGTGTAAGTGTACCATGTGGTGAAACATATCTTGCTAAAAATGGTCACAGGTGTTACCCATGCAGTGCGGGATATTATAAAGTTTCGGATTGTGTGAAAGACGGGGAACAGTCAAGATGTAAACCTTGTGGGTATGGGGAATATCTGCCTACGTGTGATAATTCGACACAGTGTAATCCGTGTGATCTGTTTTGTCATGGAGGACAGGTTCAAATTAAAGCATGCACACCAACCAGCAACCTAAAATGCCAGTGCAAGGGTGGTTATTATTGGAAACCGGACCCAGATCGAATTTGTTTAAGACATAGGAAATGCAACCCTGGAGAAGGATTAAAGACAAAAGGTATAATAGTTCTTTGACGAATTATTTCATTTGACATATAATATGATGTGTAGTAAATGACTGACAAGAGATGAATTCATTTAGTTATATCTTGATATAACAATATGGTTTTGAAAGGAATTTCTTTTGCATTATACCTGTCGGTGTGTGTGATTATTAAAACACAAATTATTATAAAACAAAGAGTGTTACTTTGGTAAAAATCTACAGCCATGGTGGACTTGGGAATATGTTGAGTTCTAGTCCACAAAGTTCTTATAAAAGGCAAATTGAGCCTCAGAAATACATTACACGGTTCATTTGTACAGATAAAGCAATCCTGTATTTTGTAATGTTTCTGAAACTGACAAAACATGAAAATATAAAACAATATTTTAACAAATGGAAAATATTATAAAATTCTGAGCTAAATCGGCCTGTAAGGTTTTCGTTTTGAAGTAGTGGAGAAATGAATACAAGTAATAGAAAGAGCATCTATACACGAGGCTATCTGATTTGTAAGAGGGGGCGTACGTCCCGAGTATTAATCATATTGCCGAGTGTTTTGATGTTCTTTCTCTTTTGTGACATAGTCAAACATAAAATCACGTTCCCTGTTGTCATAATATGAAACCCCATGAAAAAGAAACCAATGAACGAGCATCTGAATATCATATTTCTGTCGCTGTCCCTTTCTCTGCCGTCACAGCAAAAATGAGACAATCATAGGCACGCTCTGGAGTGCGGGTAACTATTAGTCCTGCACTCCAGTTAACGCACTGTGCATGTATATGTATACGATTTATCTGTGACACATTTTCAACAGAATGGTCCCCAAACTATGATACAATTTATATACAATGTACGTGTATTTGTATACCTGCTTGTAATTACGTTAATAAATTTATGCCTTTTTCTTTTAAAAGGAACACCATATGAAGATACAATATGCGAGCCATGCAAAAACGGAACATCATATTCCAGTTTGACTTCATATAACAAATGCACGCCATGCTCTGTCTGCAATATAACGCAAAGAAGCTGTAACAGTATCCATGATACTGTTTGTGGCAGCAAAGCTAAAGGCACGACGAACACTCCCGAAGGTTGTTTTATATTATTATTTTAATTTGTCTGGTGTTTTCTATTCTTTGTAACATTCATATAATCTGTGTTTATTTCTTCATAAGTTAGAGCATGTCTTTTGATAAGCTTCGGTTTAATGGAGTTTTGTTTTCCTTCATTTCATTATTTGTGATATGATATTTTCCCTTTATACTACAGTCTATTTATTATTTACACGTACAGCATACACATACAGCACGGTATGAGTCATCGACCTATACCCACGGCCGAACCAGTAACATTTATCATTTTACATGTTAATCAACCGTGGGTATCCGACGATGGGCATGAGTGGACTTGTATAAGCAATGCATGAATGCTATAACATTGCATATACAATAGGAATACGGGTGAGTGCGCTGTGGTAAAGTAATACACTGTTACGGCATTTTTAGCTCGTTTATTCGCAGAATAATCTAGCTAATGCAGTCACCCATTTGTCGCCGTCCCTGTGGTTAAGTTTTTGCATGTAAGATGGTATCTCCATAACTACTGAAGGGAATGAATTGAAACTTCACACATTTGTTCTCTGTGATTATCTAAGATGATTGGCACAATTCCCATAACTTTGATTTGTTTTTTTACATAATTATGCCCCTTTTTCGACTTAGAAATTCTTGGTTAAGTTTTTGTGTGTAAGCTGGTATCTCCATAACTACTGAAGGGAATGGATTGAAAGTTCACACACTTGTTCTCTGTGATTATCTATTATATAAGATGATTGGCACAAGTCCCATAACTCTGATTTGCTTTTTTACATAATTATGCCCCTTTTTCGACTTAGAAATTTTTGGTTAAGTTTTTGTGTGTAAGCTGGTATCTCCATAACTACTGAAGGGAATGGATTGAAACTTCACACACTTGTTCTCTGTGATTATCTAAGATGATTGGCACAAGTCCCATAACTCTGATTTGCTTTTTTACATAATTATGCCCCTTTTTCGACTTAGAAATTCTTGGTTAAGTTTTTGTGTGTAAGCTGGTATCTCCATAACTACTGAAGGGAATGGATTGAAACTTCACACACTTGTTCTCTGTGATTATCTTAGATGATTGGCACAAGTCCCATAACTCTGATTTGCTTTTTTACATAATTATGCCCCTTTTTCGACTTAGAAATTCTTGGTTAAGTTTTTGTGTGTAAGCTGGTATCTCCATAACTACTGAAGGGAATGGATTGAAACTTCACACACTTGTTCTCTGTGATTATCTTAGATGATTGGCACAAGTCCCATAACTCTGATTTGCTTTTTTACATAATTATGCCCCTTTTTCGACTTAGAAATTCTTGGTTAAGTTTTTGCGTGTAAGCTGGTATCTCCATAACTACTGAAGGGAATGGATTGAAACTTCACACACTTGTTCTCTGTGATTATCTAAGATGATTGGCACAAGTCCCATAACTCTGATTTGCTTTTTTGCATAATTATGCCCCTTTTTCGACTTAGAAATTCTTGGTTAAGTTTTTGCGTGTAAGCTGGTATCTCCATAACTACTGAAGGGAATGGATTGAAACTTCACACACTTGTTCTCTGTGATTATCTAAGATGATTGGCACAAGTCCCATAACTCTGATTTGCTTTTTTGCATAATTATGCCCCTTTTTCGACTTAGAAATTCTAGGTAAATTTTTGCTTGTAAGCTGGCATCTCCATAACTACTGAAGGGTTTGTACCTTTTCGGACAATTTTATGTATTCATATAGGTAAGCATTATTATACTCAATGAAACACCCTTGTGACAACTTTTCGAATAGTCGAGTGTTACTGTCCTCCGACAGTTCTTGTTTGTTTATATAGTTATGCTTGTTTTGCATATATGGGCATTTTGTTTAGTGTAATGCATGGGATCATCATAACTTTTTAAATGTTAATAATTTATTAATCTTTTTCTTGATTTTGTCTGTAGATTTCTTTTACATAATTTATTTTATTTGCATGATATTTTATTTGCATGATGAATCTTACATGATATTTTTACATGGTGTATGATAGCTGATAGTGGTAAATCCTGGGTGATACCAGTAGCTGTTGTTGTTGGTGTCTTCTTCTTCGTCGTCGTCGTCGTTTTCCTCTGTATCAGACATGTCAGACGCAGGTAAAGTAAAAACTAAATAATACAGTAATAAACTTGCTAAATTAGTGAACTGGTTTTTGCCTAGCTTTGAATTTGGAAAAGTTCATTTGAAGTGTATGGAATTGCAAGATCAAAATGTACACATTGTGAGCTAAGTACCAATTGTTGCTTGGTGACAGACTGCATGGACATGCAGGGCTGACTGGTTTTATTTTGGTGGGAGATTTATCATATTGGTTCCAGGAGGGTTATTGTTAAGACTTTCAGAAATGCATAAATATAATGTTTTTTATTATTTTTTAAATATTTTTGAAATATCTATTTTATCACCATATTCAAAAAAAGTTTATTTAATAATAATGATGAGGATGATAATAACAACAATTATAATAATTACATGTATAAAACTTAACAAAACACATAAAATAGACAGATCCATTGGCACAAGATTGTAAGGGAAACGTTCATTTTAGACTTTGTACACAGTATTATAATTATGCAAAATTCCATACAGTTTATAATATGGATTAACAAAACCATCTTACCTGCGTTACCTAATTTTTATGCGAATTTTTAGGACACCCCTCTTTCATACTATCGTCATGCTAATTTTGTTTTGTTTTCTTTGTTAGATATACACATACATAATTGTTTATTCATAGACTGACTGTATAATTTAAAAGTTGAATTTTGTAACTCACTTCAAATATAAAGTAGGAAAAACTACATATAGTACTTTTGAAAGCCCATTAACATTTAATTGTATCTAATTACATAAAAGGAACATAAAACTCTTTGAAGAGGAAAAGCCAGAACATGTTGAGCAGGGACTTGGCAATGACTTTAGTTCGACTCATATTGATACAATTGTATAGGACCTGGTTGTGATCTTAGCCCTTCTCGAGATGGTACAGCAAATCATAATAACAGCGACGAGAAAGCCACTCCAGCATCTGGTGAAAGACAAAACGGTCCAGCTGAAACTGACACTAATTCTTTCAAAATAAACCAGGCATTTGATCCAGACCTAGAAGATAATTTTGAAATAGAAAAAAGTAAAGGCCAAGATGGAGTCATATTTCAACTGAAAACAGGAAATTCTTCGTCAAATCAGTTACAGCCAAGCTGTGCATATACCGAAGAGATAGAGAGTACTTTAAAAAACAAAAATGATGAAAAACCTGGTAAATTGTCTTCCAGTCAAAGTGATAATTGTTCCATTAATTCAAACGAATCATGTCAAAACAAAGGAATGCAGGTGTGTCATTCTGACAAAAACTTCACAGATGATAAAGACAGTCTATCTACCGGGGTGTAGATTTTCCAAGGTTTTTGGCTCAAAATCCTTGGAAAAAAACCTTGGAGTATTGGAACGAGAAATTTATGCAAAACTTTGCTATTAAGAAAACCTTGGAAAAATAGGGAGAGGGTATAAAACCTTGTAAAAAAATGCCGAGGTTTTTTAAAAATAAAAACCTCGTAAAAATTATGACCTCGGAGTATTGGAACGATTTCCAAGGATTTCAGAATAAAAACCTCGGAAAATCATTTTTTAGAAAACCTTGCAAAATGAGTGACCTCGGAGTATTGGAACAATGTCCAAGGATTTTTTAAGTGTTTCCGAGGTTTGTTTTCCGAGGTTTTCATTCTCAAAACTGGGAATACTGTAATTATTTCCTGAGGATTCTTACTAAAGCATCAAGATCATTTTCCAAGGTTTACTTGAGCAAAAACCTTGGAAATTTCTAAAAATCCATGGAAAATCAGAAAATATAACAACCAATGAAATATTCTGAAAAGAGCAATTATATTGTCCTTTTAAAGAATTAATAAACTTCTTTACAATAATACAGAGCAAAAAATGATCACATGACTCACTGAAACATTTAATGTTAGAGTGAAGTAAATAGCAATGCACTACAAATGAAAAGTTAAGTTAAAAGTCTTAAATGGTAAATATTACACTCAATGTTCAGTTATAATTTTTTTGGTACCCGGCAAATTTATATATATTCAAATATTAATCTATTGAAGTCCTGTTCACTCTTCATGATTTTAAAGTGTCCCAAAGTTTTTCCCTCACAGTCACAGGGGTCACATGTGGAAAATGCTTGGATACAATTCCTGAAATAAATAAAGTTAATATATAATAAAGTAAAGCCATTGAAAGAAGTTAAAAAAACAATTATATAAAATCACTACTGGGCGCTTCCCTCTCCATGTGGTCAGCCTCAGCGACTTCAAACTAAGTGCCTTACAACATTGTATTTTTGACTCTTGAAGCCAGGACGGGCTTCTTCCCTCTGAGGGAAAATGCTATCCAGCCCAGGATTAAGGAACAGCTGAGGTTATACTCAGGACAGTACAGTATGTGTAGGCAATCAGAATTACATCATTTAATTTCTTTTTTATTCATCAATAAAAGAAACTGATACGTTCCTAAAAATATGAGTTGATATATTGTTTTAAAAGATCAGCACTTGTGTGTAAGGAAATATATCTTTTAAGTGATCCAAAACTACTTTAATGACAAGTTGTTTAGATAGCCTTTCTTTGTTTCAAATGAACTTTTCTGTAGTTACTTTAAATGTTTGTCTTTGAAGTTTTGAAGTAATAAATTTAATTTTTTACATGTTGATTTCTATTTTTTCTTCATCAGTATTTAGTGTTAAGATTTCAAGAAAACGTTTGTTAGCATTGTGACAATTCTGCGATGTTTAGATAGAAGCAACGTCTGTTACTATTATTTTAGATTATACAACCTAAAGCACTCTAAAAATATTGCAAAAAATAACGCTTTTGAACATAAGGTGATTCTGAAATGTGTTCCTGCAGCAATAAAGCTGAAGAGTCATCTGATATTACATTTACAGCATTTCCTACATTTAGTATCAATAAAAAAATCAGTTCCAGAAACCATCATTCATTCCAATTTCAAATTGAAACTTTCAAAAGCTAGTTTTAAAACAAAAACATACTGTAGTATATTCCTTGAAGCCTTTCCTGGTCTACAGTTGGCTTCCTTTGCCCCAATGCCAATTTTTTCCAGTATATTCCGCTGCTTTATTATACTATGATAAAAGACGACAAAGCTGGATTGCCATCTTCTTGTAGTTTGGAACATCTGAAAACTTGCTTACAAGCTGACTCTGTAATTAAAAATTTGTAGATGAAAGTTTATGAATTATGTCATCATAGTTTCATGCACTCATCTTGTTAAATACAATCATAGACAAACACAAGTAGAGATTTTGATGCTAAAGCATCAAATCGCCGGATAGAAAAATGATTGTATTATCATAAATATAAGAAAATATAAGTTTAATGGTTCAAGTATAAAAATAAGAGGAACAATGAGTTGAGTAATGTTTGCCACTGAGGCTTGTAAGGCAAGTGCTATGCTGGTAATTCTTCTTGTAATTATACTTTATACATATACTGTTGTACCATACATTGAAATCCGTATAGGTTACTAGTTCAGATTCAGATAATTACCGACAAATAATTACCGATCATCGAATATTTGCAAAGTGACTATGAAAATATATATTTAATTATTACATGAAACAATACAATTTTACTGTAAAAGTGTTGTACATCATTATTATGTGCTATAAAAAAATATATAATTTAGTTGAAATCAATACACGTATTCCAATCGTTACATACGATATATAAAATTAACGTTTAATTGCCCTTCGGTGCGATAAACTATCAACACAAAGATAGTTTATTATTTTTTCATGTATCTAATACGATTCCGGACCCCTGACGTCATACCGTTTTGGAAACCTGCGTGACGGAAACCGACGGAATATACCGAAATCAACGTTTACCATTATATATTTCAATAATGTGCCTCTTAAGCATAACATTATTTTGGGATAAACAATTGAACTTTCTTGTCGAATGTTTGACAGAAAGGGCCAAGTTAAACCCTTTACCAAGAAGAAAGGAAAAGGTTTTGAAAATGTAGTTTTAATGTAAACAGGTTTCTCTTATGATATAAAGTATGAACCTGATTAATGAAAAATAACTTCTGTAATTATCTGTACAAAATTACAATGATTTACATCTTATCAGTTACCAACATTAACAAGTTACCTGTCTTATCAGCAATCTGTTACTATTAATAGATTTTATAACGATATACAACATATATAAACATGTAGTCACGTGATTCTTACGAAAGACCAGGGAGCATTTGTTTATAATTAGATAAAATAATGTAATATAAAAGGTCTCATAAAAAATAAACAACCAAATAATTCTAAAGTGTCATTTCAAATATCATTCATGATTTATTTATTATAAAATAGCAATGCTTGACACATTGAAAAAAGTAAAAGTATCTCTAATATTCAATGACTGATCCTTGGGGATACGTTATTGATTCATTTTATGAAAATTGTAATGTTGCTTTTTAAGACGTCAATATGTGCATATTTCATTCCACTGAGCAAAGTTATCATATGTTTGATTTTTTGTGATTACTGAAAAATACTTTTTGTCTTTAATTGTTCAATGATTGATATGCTTTTATTTTTAGATTTTAAGGGCTTCTCCTACCATAGGTATAATATTAAACTATATCAAATATAGTCGCCGGTTTCTACCGGCGACTAATAACATTTATACTCATAAAATATCCTCTAAACAATTGTATTTAAGCTAGCTTACAAAGGTTAAGAATATAGATCTAAAATAGTTTGTATTTAATACTTATTTAAAGAAAAAACAGTTTTTCTGCATAGATGTATCTAAAAGTTATTTACCTGAACCTTTTTACTATTATGTTTCTTTTGTTTATCTTCCTGTATCAGGTCATTGATCTTTTAAGGTTCAATTACAACAACCAAACATTAACTGAATCTTGTCACACTTAGATAAATGTTTTCTTTGAAAATTCCAAAGTAGGCTCCCTAACATTTAAAACAAGATATCTCCAAAATTGCTTAAATAAATCCATGTTTCCACTATTTCCAACTAAAACCAGTTGACCCATTAATGTCTGAGATTCAATTTTTTCAACAGTTTATTCAGGATAGGTCCATCATAATGTGAAACAGGGGTGATCCCAAAATATCAAAGCCACCATCATTTTAATTTTACATTTATTGAAGGTACAAATATATCAAATGATAAATCAATGTAAAAGTTGAAAATTTTAACAAGTTATTGAAAGAGAATTACAGTTGCAATGTCATTTTAGACTGATTGTTTTGGAATATATAAAAACCCAGACTTCCCCTGAATAATCACATGGTACAATCTGGTCTATCCCAGAATGCCCAGTGAGAAGATTGATCATGCATAGATAGAGGAAACCACCTGGGGTGCCATTAGTTTTATCTGATCAGTGTGTTATATTCTGTTTGTGAAATCTTAGTGGATGCAGTATTTATTTATCCTAATTATAAGAATTATCAAGCATACTGGTTATTATATTTCAGACATTCAATTGTACATAATTATATTAAAAGGACAATTAATAACTATGTATGTTTATTGTACACATAAATTAATGGCAGAGTAAATTGTAATCTGAATGTATGTCACAGACTTTTTTGTAGAATGGCATAAAACATATATTAAAGATTAAATAGCATTCTTATTTCAGTGTTGCTTACAGGCTGTCAAGAAACCCTAAGTTAAGTCTATATATAGAAAGAAACTGTAGGAAAAATACTGATGAATTTGGAAACTAATAGACATAAACACTGATTGTTTCTTTTTGTATTATAGTTTTGCTCTTTAAATGAAGAAGATATCTAGTAAGGATAATTATAAATAATAAAAAAATATATGGAATTTATTTAATTGCGACGGACGCGCCCTCAGGCGCGTTCAGAGCTAAGTCATCTACACATGGGATTTCGTTGGCTACACTCGCGCAATGTGTCCTAAACCAATTAACATCCCAAGAAATAGTACATGAATTTGATCCTTCAAAACTCCCGTACTTTGTCTGGATATCTTAATGTCTTCCATATTTAGCCTTTTCAATTTCAAATTAAGTTATCCAAGTTAAAATATGAACGTATATTGTTGATAAAAACGTTGTAGTCCCGTAGTATTATTGCGCAATATGCAAATTACTGCTGAAACGATTTACCGCTGTCGAAAAAGTAGGACAGCAAATTATACTTCAATAAAGGTGTAACCTCTGAGTTCCAAGACATTATTAGTAGGAAATAAATATTTCTACATTATACAAAACATTATTATTAACAAATCAAAAGTTTTTCGTGACTAGGATAAATCGCGCATTAATAAAAGAAGAACTATTTCGTGACTCATACCGCGGGTTTAGCTGAATATTCAGCAGTTATTAATATATTAGATACAGTACAATGGCTAGTATAAATATCTATTTTTTGAAAATGCATGTAAGACACTTTACCGCCATGTAGTCTTTTCATGGTAAGGAAGTTATAATATCAGTTCTACATCCGATTCTTGTGGTTTGTTTACATATTTTACTAGGTCATGATATGAGTTAACCTTCGCTATTCTAAAAATAGATTCTGCTTCACCTGTTCTGATTTTTGGACAGGCGATTAGGAAGTACACATTAAACATGTAATTAATAAACCAGCGGATTGTAATGCAATACTTTTAGAAATGCTATACAATTGTAAGAAGCAAACAAGTTGAAAATGGAATTTAGTGTGAAGTTGAAAAGGACAACTAAACACTGTAGTGCTTAAGTGACATTTAAATTAAAATAAAAACGATGTGCTCTGGCATCTACATCTTTACCTTGTAAATAATAAAAATCTAAGAAATACACTATTAATTGCTGATGATTTTAACCAATTTTTTTTTAATGAGACATATCCAAGAGAAATAAAAATACAAATGACTTATATCTTTTTGTCTGTATGCCCACTATGATATAACACGAAGCAATTCTAAATAGCATTATCAAATGTATAATGTATTATGTTTGAAGTTTATTTGCCTGGATTTATTCTAGAAATATTTCGTTGATAGTTTTTTTTCCTATTTACATATCATTTCTTAGAATAAATCGATAAGGACCCTGATTTACAAGTTTGACCAGAGTTTTTTTAGGCATAAATTTCATTCTGTATTTAAGTGCTTTAAAGTAGAAAATCTGAATTATATCAATTTGGGACACAAAATATATTGCTGTACAAATCTCGAACTTGTATGGAACAAATTTTCTCTGTTATATATTTTGTGTTTTGTTTTTGTTTTGTTTTGTTTTTCTAAAAGAAGCCTTAATTAATGTCTTTCCGGTTGCATCTCCGTCGCATTCAGTGCTGCAGCACTTTGATTTTTCCATGTTTTCACACTTAAATTTTTTTAATTGATTCCTCCCAAATAAATCGCTTCCGAAATTTAAAGTACAAATTTATTGAGAAGGAAGTTGTCCATCGACAAATTGCCCATACTGAAAATTGATTTCCCTGGACCATGCTGTCTTGCGTGGACTAACCATAGACAACTGTTTGCTCTGACCATGGATTAAATAAATATCCACGGGCAATCTACAGCCAGGTTGGTAGTTTAGTTTTAGTAAATCTGCCTGCTTTAACTGTTGATCATTGCTTTTGATGCCCATTTCAAGTTAAATCATGATTAACATTTTCCGAAATGAAATTCAGTAAAGTACAAATTTCCGAGGTCATTTCCAAGCTAAATATTGGCAAAGTGTTTCCAACAAATTTACATAAATTTTCTAAGTTCTTTTCCGAGCAAAAAAATGACAAAGTTCTTCATTTCCAAGCTGATTTTTGGCAGAGTATTTAAATTCCAAGATAGTTTCCAGGGTTTTCTTTATTTCCAAGGATTTTATACCAAAAACCTCGGATAAAGTTTCCAAGGTTTTAAACAAAACCTCGGAATTAAAAAAAAACCTTGTAAAACTGGTTTATTTCCAAGGTTTTTGAAGAAGTTTCCATGGTTTTTTTCATAAACCTTGGAAAATCTACACCCGCGTAATGACACTGATCTAACAATTGATGCCTCCGCAGTGGCACCTCGCACTCTTCCACCAGAAGTAGACGCAGAAGGAAACAGTAATCTTTTAGAAGAAGCTGAAGTTGATGACATGGTAAGCTACATTTGTCTTAATGTGAACATGCAAAATGCATTCGATACAAATATAGTTATCATAAATTATCAAAGAATATTGAAAAAAAATGTTATATATAATACACTTTTATAAACAAAAATAATACATTGTTTATCGATCACACATGTTGTAAAATTATTTAATTTTATTATTCTGGCTTAGTCTGCACATTTTAGGCCTCGAACTGTAAGTAATACTACAAGAAGGCAAATTTGACCTTAACTCACGTCCTTAATTAATATATAATTATATAATTAATATATAAGTATTATAAATTTTCATGAAAAATTAATTCTAAGATTTCTTTCAATTATGATATTCAAACATATTCTATGTTACGAAAATGTTATGTTTAGTTCAATCAGCATCCTTACCATGACCGATCCCGCCTGCTTAACTTAACATATGCCCAGTTTTCGTTAAATAAATCCTCTTTAGCTTCCATAGTAGTATACATTTAGTACTTACCTTTGCAATTTTTTTTCAGAGAAATATAGAGATAGAAAAACCGAAATAACCCAAGACAATTCTTGGTAATCAATGCTGCTCTAATAGTAGTAATAGTCTACAGTCCAGGCATTTGCCTTGCCTTTCTTCTCCTATTTATTCAACAAAGTTAGTATTGTTAATTTCACAATTGTTGCCTTTAATACTTGTAGACGATACATCCTGATATTAAAATTTGATATGGAATGCTACAGTTTTTATATCATGCAATTTTATTATAAGGAAAGATGTGGTGATGGATCTGTGAACTCTTTGGGACAGGACAGGGAGGGTGTGCAATGTCAAAGAAATTCAATCGAGAACGATTCAGTTGACACAGAACGAGTCGTCTTAGGTAATGTCGTTTATAATGTTAAATATGCAAAGAACAAGGAATATAATTATATGGAGATAACATTTTAGTTTTACAACTTGGCGTCGACAATTTTGTGTGGCTAGAACTTTTACTGTCTTGTTCCCGGACACTTGCATTTGAACGGATTTGTTTGTTGTTGTTTTTGTTTTCTTGGTTACAAAAAGCTGTTTATAAAATGTTATCATGCAAGTCTTTTAAAAGAAAAGTATATAAATATGGTTTATAAGAGAAGATTAAAAAGTTTACATTATTTAATACTGAGAACATGATGCCATAACTGAACTAAAAACAACAGTAATCTCCTGGGTACATTTCATAAAAAATAATTGGGACTGGTTTTTAGTCATAATTGTAAAACTGAGATAGACAAAAAAGTCCTCAGTGTAATTGTAAGACAAAACTTGGAATTATTCTTAGAAGTGCCTCCGAGCACTTCTAACTTTTATTTTAAGTTGTTAGTATAAAAATCAAGTGCAGAAACAATGATAGAGGCTGTTGTCTTATTGTTTGACTCAAAAAGAGTATTACAGTCCCAATTTTAGTCTTATATTTTAGACTTTGGATTTCCTATGAATGCACCCCAGAGAGTTGATAAGCCAGTGACTATTTCGTTTCAGATCCCTTTGACGTGTCTGATATTGTAACTGCTGCAACAGAAATAAGTAGAACAGAAGAGAGTCGCAAGTCAACATGTAAGATTAAATGTCATCAAAAGAAAATAAAATAATATTTCGCCTTTTATGACAAAAAATTAGTGAGTTAAGAAACAAATTTTCGTTTATTATTAATAATTATTGTAATTTAAAATATTTGGTTTGTTAATAAAGACAATCCAAACGTGTGTGCGTGCACGCAAACATCAACAAATTAGTGACACTGCTTGGATATTGTCTAGACATTTTTTTCAATAAAAACATGTCAACAGCTCGCATGATTCAGTTTGCTGTGTCTTAACTATTTTTATTAAGGAACCAACATATCCAGTCGATATCGCTAGATTATATGACATGTCAAACATAGTTGACCAATATTTTGTGGGTTCAGACTAAAGGTCCAATTGTCAGTTGTCCCTCGCCGCTTATGCATTCGGAATAGGTTAAAAGGTCGGTTGGTCGGACAGATACCCGAAATATGACCAATCATCATCAGATAGTCGTGAAACCAACCAAACAAACAACTTATGTCCTTTTCCATATCCATTAATGTTCAAAATCTTAATTATGTCATTTAGTAACAGCTTTAAAGCAATAGCCTCCAGATTCGTGCTTATTTCATGTGTATTCATAGAATGTAACATTGTGAAGTGAGCAAAGAAAGTAATATATACATTGCAAACGGCACTTACAGTCCACATAAATAACCACAAACTTGTAACTATTATCATTACTTACATCTTGATAGTTTCATTTATTTTTTTTTTAAATCTTAGAGCATGTTTCATTAGTTTGACTTTTTTCTGTTTGATTTTCAGTCTGGTTTGAAGTTATTGACTTCCTGCAACGTATGATGCTCTTTAAGGATTTTATAATGTTCGCTAGGAGACTTGCACGTAAGATCTTGTTTTGTTTTGTACTGAAACGTTAACTTTGTATATATTTTTTATAAATATATAAATTTACGCTTTATTTGCTTTTTTCTGCTTGTTGAATACTTTTTGTTAAATTGCTAATAAATTTTAGAGTATTTACCACTTAATCAAGTCCAGAACGCATTTTCTGTATCACAGTCCGTCTTTACTATATCATATAGACTTCCTTCTACTTGTATCTTAAACAAGACATGTTTAGCTTAACAAAACGTATTTCATTAGCAAAGAAAGCAAAAACTGCTCTAAACCAAGACATATTTAGCTTCACAAATTGTTTAGTTTGGGAAAAACGAATGGGTTATGATGGAGAAATAAGCTGAACAGTACCTCGGGTGAACTCGACGTACACCTTTTTACTTTCGTTTTCGAGGTTTCTGGTGTACAACAGTGCTATACGCGCGTCATTGAAAATGTACTCTTTTTAACAGTTTAACAGTTTACCCTTCTTATTTTATATATGTGATAGATTCAATACTAAATTTATTGAACTCGTTGAATAAAACAATATTATGCTCACCAGAGGATATGACATTTTTCAACTGGTTCAATAAATCTAGTAATCAACCTACACTCATTCAATATCCTCTATAAATTTGAATTTACGTTCACGTTCTTCAGATTAAAATGCACTTCGGCAACTTGAATATAACTTTATTCATTTGCATAGTGTTAACAATAACACTTAGGGAATTTATTTTATTTTAATGTCAAAAATGTAACGCATATATCAATTTATGAATTCATATTATGTTTGGTTTATCATTTGTTGTTTTCATTATAATGACATCATTTAAAAGGTATGCTTTATTATAGTGGAAAATGCAAACTCAAACCAAACTAAACGAACATTTTAAACAGAATTAACGGAAGTTAAGTATTTTATCAGTAAAAACTATTGTCCAAGCATTGATTTTTTAACAACGAATGACTGAAATAAGTTCTTAATCTTATTTGCAGATAATACAAATGAAGAGTTCTCTAAGACAATTGACGTGGTGATAGAAAACTCTGGAGAAGGCAACGAAGGAAAATATCAAATATTGAAAAGATGGCGAGAGGCCACCCCAAACGCTCAGTTGAAAGATGTGATAGGCGCAATGAAACATTACAATCTGAATGCTTTATGTGCTGACATTATAGATAAGTTAAACGATAAAAATCTGTTGGACACTGATGGTGATTTGCTTGATACAGAGATTTCACAAAATAGAAATGACCATTCCCTTTATCCACGAAATGATCTGTCTGTTCAAGATGCAGACACTGGCATAGAAGAAAATGATCTAGCTCAAGGTGGACATCTCAAAATGGAAGATCTTAAATCTTTCAAGTGTGAAGATGATGATGCTTGGTGTATAAGTTAACGAATGTCATATAAATATTTTTCATTGTAAATTAAGAAGTGTCACTTTCCTTTATTTACATAACTTCTTTATAGTTATATATATAATTATATATATATCAAATTAGTTATATATATCAAATCATTGCTGCGTTTATTATGAACTTTTGATATTATATAAATAACAAATGGCTGTCGGGATGATAGAGGATATTGTCAAGCCGAGAACTGGTATAATACCCAGATGCGCCAATATGGTGGCAAATTGTCTTTTGCGACGACTTTGTAACAATCTGTTTTTATTTGTTTGGGTCGTTAGACCAAACAAATAATTGTAGCGAAATTTCAGACTCTAATGCTGTTAATTGCAAATGCCGAAAGTAGTCCGCTTCTGAAGTGGTTACTTCCCTTTATATGTAACACTGAGGCCAAAAAAAAAATTCAGGGGAGATCACTGCTCAAATATGGTCACATGACAGGCGCATTAATTTTCAAGCAGAATAATTCCCGAATGGTCGAAGATTTCTAATATTGTTTTATTCTTTATAGATATACATGCTTATAGTAAGCGCCGTGATTATTTACACAAGTGTTAAACAACAGTTAGCGTCGTTACAAACCCTAATTTAGAATAATATGGTTTTCTTCAGGCCGTTAACATAACAATTCACCATGGCCGAGGGGTTTGCACGCTCGCTTAGGAAGCGAGAGGTCTGGAGTTCAAATCCCAGTTAAGGCAATTCATTTTTTTTTTCAAATTGCTTAAGTCAAATAAACATTGGATTGAATACCAGTGTTGTAATTAGTCTTATAGTCAATCTACTACAATTAAAACGCTGGAAAGCGTTGGTGGCACTATACAAAAACAAATTGTTTTATAATCTCACAACCTTCACCGTATTATTATTATTATATTAATTTCATATTCCTATTATTGTTTTAAGAGATGTGAACATGTAGATAATCAATATATTAATTTCATATTCCTATTATTGTTTTAAGAGATGTGAACATGTAGATAATCAATATATTAATTTCATACTTCTATTATTGTTTTAAGAGATGTGAACATGTAGATAATCAATATATTAATTTCATAACCTATTATTGTTTTAAGAGATGTGAACATGTAGATGGTTCAATATATTTTTTTTCAAAAATGATTTATGTTATTTTTCATTCCTTCTGTATGGATCCGAATTATGGGGTTTTAAACCCCGTGAAAATTGTGAGCTTATTCATCGTTTAGCTTGTAAACGATTTTTATGCGTAAATAGAACATCTAGTAATAATGTAGTATTAGGCGACTGTGGTCGTTATCCAATTTATGTAGAATCTGCGATGTGTTGCATAAAGTACTGGTTCAAATTATTGAAATTACCTAATGACAGATATGTAAAAATTTGTTATAGACTGCTTTCAAGTACAACATGTGCTAAATATTTTAATTGGGCAAATGAAATTGAACATCATTTATGTAGTAATGGGTTTGGGCACGTTTGGTTGAACCAAGGAGTTCAAAATGAAAGATTGTTTCTCCATTTGTTTTGTCAAAGACTTAAGGATAATTATTTGCAAGGATGGTATAGCAAGTTAGATTCTAGTGATTGTCTCTCATTGTATAATCGTTTTAAAAAAATATGACCAAGAAACTTATATATCTATTTTAAATATCAGGAAATTCAGACATTGCTTCGCTCAATTACGTTCAGGGCTTTCACATTTAGAAGTGACTAAAAAGTCATATAGAAAAATTAACACGAATGATTGGAATTGTAAAGTATGTTCCCTAGGATTATTTGAAAATGAATTTCACTTTCTACTAGTCTGTCCTGTATATGCAGATTTAAGAGCAAACTATATTGCTAAGAAATATACTTGTGCAACAGAGCACAAATTGAATATATTATTATCGTGTGAAAATGAAAATGTTATAAAAAGTCTTGCCAATTATGTTTATCATGCAACAATTCGAAAAAAGATGATTATGCAGTTTTGATTTAGATACGTCTATATTTTATCTTCAACAATGTAATTTATGTGAATTGTTATAATGTATTGATGAGTGTATCCACATAACTTTGTATCTTTTTAATGTTACAATTGTATATGTTATGGGCTGGTGGCCTAAATCAAATTCTGTTCTGTTCTATTTTTCATAATTTCCAATTTTACAAATTTCAAAATTGTTTCTGTAAATCATATTATAGGTTACCATATATATAAATTGTATGTATTTTAATCTTATTCTAGAGCAGGTTAAATAATTGTTCATTTCATAAATTTAATAATATTGATATAAGTTGTGGAAAGCTTTCAAATGTTTTTGTTTGGTTTGGTTTGAGTTTAATTAAGTCGAACCAACAGTGTAAATGTAACATGACCACTAACAAGCTTGACTAGTTGAGAAAGACCTCAGGTGCCACTTCCGGCATTATTTCAGGCACAAGCGGGTACATCAATAGAACCACCGACGTGACGTACGTAAGCTAGTTTCCTCGCATGAGATAATTCTAAGTTTCTGACTGGGGTCGAACACACAGCGGCGAAGGGCTAGTGGTTTAAAGCCAACGACCTCATGGTCTAGTTACACGGACGATATGTCCCCAATCGACAGGTTCATTTCAAAATGAGCGACCGTTTTGATCGTTTGTCTTGAGAGACATATATAATGCAAAACACCGCTCCCGACCTCACCAAACTAATGCTTTGTCTGTCTCCGACTAGCTACCGATTTACCAATCACCGATCAAATGTTTTATACCGATGAGTTAAAGGAGTGGGCAGTACGGAAGCGTCCTGGTGCCAATATAACATGTTCTATAAAAAAGATAACTCCTACGTAGGAGATAAAAAAGCCTAATTAGGAGTTTATAACTCCTACGTAGGACTTTTAAACTCCTACGTAGGACTTTTAAACTCCTACGTAGGACTTTTTAACTCCTACGTAGGACTTACTTACTCCTACGTAGGACTTAATAACGTCCTACGTAGGAGTTATAAACTCTTAATTAGGCTTTTTTTAACTCCTACGTAGGTTCTATGGTTCGAATTAATTAGGCAAAGACTTTGAAGATGAGTCCTCTACTAGCAGTTGAACCAGATATGTATATTAAAAATGTAGATCAAATCAGATGTACACTTCAACAAAATTTATTTTGTGTATAAATAAATTAATGTCAACACACAATATAATATATAAGTTATTATAGAAGCAACTGTCACAATTATTGTAAAATGATGAGCAATGTTCATTTGTAATTAAATACACACAGAGTTCAGTTATTTAGATGTTATTACAACTTATGAGTTTGTTAACTTATGATACTTATGAATAATTTACTTTAGTATAGCACAGGATGCATTTAAATCAAAATTTCGCTGATATAATCGCGTATTAAATTAAGACGTTAACGGCGTTCCATAAAAATATATGCAAGTCAGTGAACCGTAGCCGCTTATATCATTTATCAATAACAGCAGAAAATAATGTTCAAAGTCAATAAATATTAATTATATATTGCGAGACAGTAACAAATTATGATGTAAATTCTTATAAAATGAGTATCTTGTAAATAAATCGTCTTTCTATAAAGAATCTTGCTTACTAAAATTAATGGCGCTAGACCGCAGACGAATTTATACACTAACTTGTGACTAAGTTAAATGGCCGCCAAAATTTCTAATGTTTCAAATTTTCTAAGAGTAGAAGACAGCGTAAAGGGATGCTGCTTCTAAGAAAGACAAAACTAGACTGACCCAAACGGCTGATTTCGCCGTATTTATATGAAAACGCCCAACCACTGCCCAAAAGTGGTTGGAATGGTAGAAAAACGACCAACAACCAAAAATGGTTGACGGCTGTCAGACAAAACTGATCGGAAACGATCATAAACTGATCGGACTGAACTTAACTTTAATGGAGAAAATTTTAACAATAATAGAGCTATAAGCAAATACAATAATGACTATTTCCAAAAATTCTCTACCTTTTGTAATGTTATTTCTTGCGTACCAAAACGAAACAACTTCTGCCTACTTAGTGTTTACAGAAACTAACCGATGCAATAGCTATAAATAGCCAATAATGCAAAGTACAAAATGGCGGCTTACAGTAAATTTCCAACACATGAAAATTACATTTCAAGGAAAATACAGTGAAATATGTGGGATTTAACAAAGTTACTTGGCAGTTTGTTAGATAATTACATTCTTCATCTGAGGAAATCAGACTTTACATAAAAATACAAACATTTAAGGAATTATGACAGCTTAAAGTCAAGATTAAAAGGATATTGTTTACAAACAATTACAGCTAAAGTGTCACGGATAAGGATTTCGTACACATAAAGTACCAGCAGCTAATATCATTGGTATAACCTGTTTAAATGAGCTAAAGTGTGTTGTTAAAAAGTCCATGCACAGTTCATTTTCCATTTTATGCCTTGTTAAAGTCAACAACTGGTACTAGATTTCACAACCCACTGATAAAGTAAAGTTCATTTAGGTAAGTTTTCTAAATAAATAATTGTTACACAGTTCACAGTTAAATTATTGATTAATGCCTGATACCCGGGACACATCAATATCCCATTTACCTTTCTTATATCAGTACATGTTTTTTTATAAAATGGGAAATATATAGAGTAATTAAATAACTTAAGTAATTATTTGCGTTGCCGTTAAGCGCAAAATTACGGAATGCCGTTAGGGCCATTGCCTATGAATGTGTTTTTCTGAAACGCGATAGTCGATAGTACGATGGTGAAAACGCGAAATCACGAAACTACGATGGTGAAAACGCGAAAGTACGATGATGAAAACGCGAAAGTACGATGATGAAAACGCGACAGTACGATACTACGATGATGAAAACGCGATAAACTATCGTGTTTTCACCATCGTATTGTCGCGTTTTCACCATCGTATTTTCGTGATTTCGCGTTTTCATCATCGTACTGTCGTGTTTTGTAATAGTAGGCTTTTCAATGAAAACGGCCATTTTTCACAATATGCTTATGAGGGAAAGGGTTAAGGAATGTGTTACCATATGTAATGTGTTTTTATGTTTGATTTGATTTGATTGTAAGGGAATTGTGTTTTAGACCGATATGGTGGAATTTGTAAAAAACTCATTTTTGCCGCCAAAAATCTGCAAATGACTTATCATGCTTTAATAGCGAGTACATGTATGTGATCCAGTGATGTCAATGACAGCTTTGCACCGTCGTTGCGAACTCCCTATCAGGTTTCTTAGGACGGCTTGTTGGATGGTATTCCATTCGTCGACAAAGGATTAAGATCCGGGGATCGGGCCGGACAAATGAGTAATACCCTGTCTTTCCAAGTACTTTTTGACGACATTGGGTGTGCGGGGGCGTGTTCCGGTCGTGTTCCGCAATGTTTATCGTATGGAACCGTTCCCCTGACCTTCGCCATACTCTAGCAAGCCTATCTGTGTAGTCCAGACAGAACCTTGACTCGTCGGTGAAGAGGACAGGCCGCCAGTCTCTACTGCCTCAACCAACATGGTCCATGGCCCAATCATTTCGAAGCCGGCAGTAGTCTCTAGACAGCGGGACCTTATACATGGTTTTCTCGATCGCAGTCCACTGTCTTGCAAACGTGTACGTATAGTTTGTGTTGTCACACGCATCCCTACAGCATTTTGAAGGTCAGAACGAAGTTGGATTGCAGTTGCAAAACGGTTTTTTCGTTCCTGGATGACCAGAGAACGTTACTCAGCCTCAGTAGTCAGTTTGTTCTGCCACCACCATGTCGTCTAACAGGTGTACCGTGCTGTTGGTTCCAGGCTCGGGTGATAAACGTATGGTCCACACCAAACACCTCACCAACCACATGATGTCGAACCCCTTGCTCCACCATAACAACTTCCCGCCACAACCCTGCTTCTGATAAGTGCTTTCTTATATTATTCAACCTTAAATGTTCAATATTTCAATGGAAAATGAACCCTACAAGTGTTGGTACGTGATAAAGACAAAATACATGGTCACCTTGTTTGCACAACTTGC